TCCTTCTAGTTGCTGTATGTGGGACGCGGCCTCAGCATGGCGGGACAAGCGGTGCATCGGTGCGCGCCCGGGATCCAAACCCGGGCCACCAGCAGCAGAGAGCTGGCCCTTAACCGCTAAGCCACTGGGCCGGCCCCGATCAAATAATTTTCATACTCTGAGTTATTAATGGCACTTGCAAGTACTATTTACTCCAATTCAATGTGTTAATTGACGAGAATTGCCAAATATGACTTAGAAGAAAAATTTATATAAGGATATTATTCTTATCCAGCCACTAAATGTTCAAAACCTAATATGGTTTTCTATTTGGAATCTCATAAGAAACATCAGGTTCATGGACAGCAAATTTGGTTTTCGTGTACTAATTCATTCCCTGTAGCCATTGGCTTAAGGACGTCAATTTTCAGATGCTATAGTTTCATTTCATCAAGCGCTTGGCAGCTTTCTGAAATTTCCTCCCTGCCCTTCAGACTTTCCCACAAGTACAGAGAGTACAGTCACATACTACAACAGTCCAGCAGGTGACATTAAGACCAGGCAATGTAAGGCTGTGATAGGAGGAAAGGCACAGACACAGGGCTGACCGCCCAGGGCAAACACGCTAAATCTCACCTCGCCAGCAATGCAGTTGTGGGCACAGCTTCTCACAAGCCCTGGGCCAGCCCCACTCCAGTCATGGATCAACAGGCTTTGCCTAAAGTAGGAAATGGCCCGACTCAACAGAGAAGTGTGACATGTGGTTTCTTGACCTGAGCTGAGATTATTCTCCTGAATTGGATATTCATACCCAGCCACCCTCCATCCTCGGCAACTTGGGTCCCAACTCAGATTTTCCCATGATGAGTCTGTGAAAATCACGGTGACCTCTTTCTTGCAGGGTTCTCTGTTGAGCAGGAAGATGGCTCGGCAAAATCTCATCTACATGTGAATTTAGGATTTACTACCTGAGGATGAAGTGGTTGTGCTTTTTCAGGCTTTGGAACAACACTCACAATCAGCAACCAGGCTTGGGGTTTAAGAATGAGCTGCAGTCAAGGAGAGGACGCAAGGAAGCTGTTTCTGTAGCAAGTTGTGTCACTCCCTACACAGTGAGGCCTGGGCCCCGTACAGGAGGTTTTGGGTCCACACTGAGGCCCAACTAATGCCTTAGGATCTGCAAAGGGGAAGGACCAGGGCGTGAAGTGGAAAACAGCTGTGACTTGCACTAGAAGGGATTCAGCCCAGCCGGCAACCTTGAATTCAGGGTAGAAATCCAGTCAGTAAGGACAGGAAGGAGCAAAGGAAATAAGTGCTTTCCTCACTCCCCCCTCCACCCACCCCAAGGGGAAATAGTCTAACTAAACTTCATCCAAACTGTATTCCCAAATGATGCAAAATTATCCGGGAATTGCTCAGCCCCGGAAAAGGGCTGAGTTAAATGGGCTATCTCCTTCCTTCCCCCAAACTCAAACTCAAATGTATACAAAATTTATCCACTGCTTCTGAGTGTAAGGAGCAACAAAACACAGTTGAGGCACCCACACCTCGGGAGTTCAGTTCCCCAGAACTGCCTTCAGAACTGGCACTCCTAGACTCCACTTTTCTGCTTTTCTAGTTTATGACCCAACTTTGCTAAGTTGTTACAGTCACAGGCCATGCTCTTGCATCCTCCCTGCCCAGGGCTCCCTCCACACCCACACCTACCATTAACAGCTCTCACATCTCTCACTGATCAGGGTGCTCCTCTCAATTTCCTGTGCCCAGATGGGGACTGGACTGCACATGGAAACAAGGCCCAGCATCTTCCTTTATTTAAAATCTATTCCCTATAAGTTGCAAGGGTTCCAAGAATAGGGTTGTGGGTAGTTATAAACTCGTATTTGCCCTCTCCTCCATTCCACGTTGCAGATTAAATGTGTGTAGGCGACAATAATAGTTCTAGCAGCATAGAACTGGTATGGTAGCTACGTGTGAGGCACTATTTGAGTGTGTCACATGTATTATTTCATTTAGTCCTCAAATAACCCTACCAGGGAGGTATTATTATCTTTATTTTTGGATGAGGACACTGAAACCTAAAAAGGTTAATAGTCTTACTCAAGATCACAATTTATAGAGGACAAGGGTGGGATTCAAACTCAGGTAGTCTGACTCCACAGCAGTGGCGCTTGAGGATGTGGGAGGAGGAGGTGATGGGAGGAGGAGCTGATAGGAGGAGACCACCAGGGTGCAGGTAGAGAGAATTTAATAATAATAATAAAACTGTAAGTCAGATGGCTTATTATCATCACCACGCATAAGCAATTTTCCACAATGCAGTAATAAAATATTTTTCTTCACTGGGGTGGACCACTCCCATCATCTTATTAGGCTGGACACTCCCATGTCTGTACATGGTGCCTGACACGAGCAGCCACGGTACAGCTCTGAGGGGAGCTCAACTGAGGGTGGCAGAGCAAAAAGATGGGAAGAACCTGGGTTTTTTAATATTATTACTGTAGTAAAATATACATAAAATTTACCATTTTAACCATACAATTTAGTGGTATTAAGTACATTCACAATGTTGTGCAACCATCACCGATATCCATGTCCAGAACTTCTTCACCATCCCAAACAGAAACTCTGCATCCATTAAACATGACTCCTTATTCTTCCCTCCCCCCAGCCCCTGGTCACTTCTATTCTTTCTGTCTCTATGAATTTGCCTATTCTAGGTACCTCATATAAGTGGAATCATACAATATTTGTCCTTTTGTATCTGGCTTTTTTTACTTAGCATAATGTTTTCAAGGTTTCATGTATGTCATAGATTGTGTCAGAATTTCACTCTTTTTAAGGTAGGATAATATTCCACTGTATGGAAGAACTTGGGTTTTTAATGACACTTTTGAGGCATCATACCTTAGGGGACCTCTTGGTAAGGCAGATGATGTTTACTTCATGCTGTAAGTCATGTGGCCTTGGGTTTTCTTTCTTACAGCTGAAAGAATCCTGACACATAAGGCACAACTCAGATTCTTCTGTGAAGCTCCAGGGTAGGGAATAAGGCCCACAGAGTACTCAAAATGGAAGCTCTCCAGCATGCGGCAAAATTTTCCAGAATTTCCTTGTGTGTGTGTAAATCTAAATCTATACGTGTACATATTTACACACAGACAAACACACAACTAAGGCCACACCTTTACCTCTTTTCATCCTCAGTTTAGCTATTTTGATAATCCCTTGTTACAACTGTTAATTTCAACATATACAGTTATTCAGTACTTAACATTTTTATTCATCATAAAAAAATATATTGAACTCCAAATCAAGTGAGACATGGTGCCTAGTGCTCTATGGAGGAGTACAGATTGATGCCTCTTTTCAAAACACTTTTCCACATTCTTCATTGGTGTTAGAAATAATCAAGTTTAGTCAAGGGTAAAGAATAAAAACATTTATTTAAAAAATACCATTCAGCATCAATTGCTCCAGGTTTGGCTGGCATGAAGGGTGGGTGGCTAATGTTTTATTAGTATATGAAATTTGAGATACAGGAAGCAGTATGGCAAAAAAAAAATAAAAGGGAATACCTATTATTTAAACTGAAAAAGTGAATAGTAAGCTACTATGATAGAAAGGGGCTTTAGGTTAAAAACATGTCACAATGCAAGGACAACAATCTCCTCCTTTTATAAGTACTGGTAGAGTAGGATTATGGGAGAATGTTCCTCATGGAACATTTTGGTTCATGGCTATGAAGAGGTGGACTGCAGAAAGAGGTGAGCAGACCTCAGTACTAGTTGGGGAAACAGAGAAGTGTGGATAAGGAGAAAGAAAAATCAGGCAGAATGTCTTTGCTCAAGGGTCCCTATAAAAAATGTATTCTAAAAGAATCTGAGTAAGAATTATTATAATTCTTTTTTGTGACTATAAAAGTGTAACGGACAGCACTAGACATCAATTATGCTGTAAACATGTAAGAATATCCTTTCATTATAAGCATATATAAAGCGTCCTGCAACTATTGGACTATACATCACATTGTAAAATTCTATTTTTTTGGTTGCTCACTTTTCTGGTTCCTAGTTGTTCACATTCTGGGAGAGGACAAAGGCCTTTAGAGATCCATCAATCCAATCCTTTCATCTCACAGATAAAGGAGGGTGAGTAGCTTGCCCACGGTCATATTCATCCTCAGTGGCAGAGACTGAACTAGAACCAGGTCTCCTGACCCCCCATCAGGTGCTCTTCTCATTACAACATGATGTGATTCACACTCTACCCCATCCTGGGTCTGTACTGATAGTTCTCCCTCATCTCAGCTGCAGCAGAAGGGCTGTGAGGGAAAGGAAGAGGTCTATTTGAGGCTTCGCTGGCTTGCTGTGACTGTTGGATACTAGAAGAGAAGGTGATAAAACACATCTTCTACCCCAAGTCTAAAAATAATCTACAAAACACACACACACACAGTCAGGCTACTCTGATGGCTTAGCAGAGAAATACTTCCTGGACAGAGCACTGTGTATGAGAGGAATTTTTAAAGGCTGCCATAAAAGAAGTTACTCATTTTAAAGGAGAACATCTGGCCAAGGACACATAATCCTCTCAGAAGCTCTGCAAATAAAGCCCTGGTTACAGACGATGACTAACTCGGAGAGCTTCAGGCTCCAGGGGACATCTCAGCACCACTCCATGGAGTCCCTAACATCACACCATCAAAAGGGCTGCTAATCAGTGGTGGGAATTGCCTCTAAATATGCAAAGTCCAGCAGAGAGGAAAACACAATTGACTGGATTCTTTTAAAAAGCCTCATCAATCTCATATCTATTTCTAATTTCATATTTATCAGCACTTAACATTCTAAATGTTCTATTCTGGCTATCCATATTTCTGGGTGACAATACCAGGACTGCTTTATTGCAACATTCACGAGAGGTGCTTCAAGAGGGAGGGTGGTCAGATCTCTTGGGGCCATTTTCTTCTGCGTGTGTTTTGAGAACAAAATTCAGAGAATGAAAGTGTTCTCGTATTTTTAAAATGTCTGTCACAAATGTTTTTGTTCAAGTTCACTACAAGGACTATGAATTGAGAATATCCTTTGTCATATTCATGAACTAGGAAAACTGTGAGAGGAAGGTTCATCAAACTCTGCCAATCTCGAGTTTATCAAAACATCAAAAAGTACCATAATTTTATAGATTGTCCTGCAGAAATTTATCTTTCTTGTGCTCCATAGGTTTCTATAAGAGTAAGGTTCTCTTTTATTTATACTTTTCCTAGAAATTGCTTTCTTAAATGAAGATCAAGTATTTGTTTTATAAAACAAGAGCCAGCCATGTGTTGAGTACTCCATCTCAGGCAGTAAATTGCCTTTGTGCCATATTTCTTGTTTCTTTCCATATAGTTTGTTGTATCTTATACACGGACTCCTGAAAAATTCTTTCTACTTGTGTAGGAAAGCCACGACTGTCCTCCTCTAGGGCATTGATGGTTCGCAGAGCAAAGGGAGTCCTTTCTCGAGGCAGCGGATTGTTCAGGGGCCGCATGGGTATAACAGAGTTGTATTTGTGCTGTCTGTTAACAGAGTTCATTAGGGACGTATAGAACTGGAACTTACACCAGGTATCTCTTAAAAAGTTTTCAGTCAATAATAAGATTGTCCATGCAGACCCATTTACAGCATCATCTAGATTCTGTAAATGCTGTCTGCCACATGGCATCTCAGCAAAGATTATTCCAGGTTTGATGCCGAAGTCATTTTCTAGCAGACTCTGGACTCGGAGGGCTTCGTCCGTGTCATCTTCTGCATGCAATATCACAAATTTGAGGAACACTTCTTCTTCTGCTTCCTCTTCAGGCATCTCTTCCACTCCTTCAGCTTTCTCCTGCTTTCCTGTTGGCATCTCTGTTGCATTTCTATGCTCAGCAGCACCACGCAGGGAGATTTCTTCAGGTTTCTTGGAATCTGACTCATGATGTCTTTGACTTGTATCCATACTGTGGCTTTTACCCCAGGAGAGAGAAAGAGGGCAGGGATCTGTTTTAGACTTCCCGATACCCATTATAAATATCCAAGTCAGAAGAGAAAAGCCTTATTTATTTCTCAGCATTTCTTTTCATCCTGAAAGAAGAAATAACAAAGTAGAAGAATATTGTAAATTTAATCAAAATACTAAAAATGGAAACTTTCATTAAACCTGAAAAGCTCAAAAAGATTACAATATATAGGTCCTAACAAAGAAATCCCAAACAGATCATAGGAAACAAAATCACTTGTCTTTTGTGAGCTTCACAAGGGCTACCACAGGTCGTCAAAGGTAAGTTAAACAGAGGGTCCTGTATGATATAACAGGAAACATTTGGAAATTTTAAGTGGTATTATAAATACCACAATAAATATCTAGATTAAAATAAGTTCCTTTGGGTATTTTAGTGAAAAGGTACCATGCCACTCTATCCATATGAAATTTAAATCCACCTTCTCCATTATCAAATTATTGTGTAGACTAGAAACAGGAAAATCTAAAGAATATTCAAATATTAAATACAGAATTTATTTTTGTATCAAACACAAACACAAAACAAAATACAAATATCCTAAAGATGGCTAGCAGGCAGCTCTACTGACTCGGCATAAAGAAAAGATGTGAAAGGTCAAATGAAATGATGTCCAGGATTCACTGGTTCAGAGCTTTTTTGTTTGTCTAGGGTCAGGCATTGCTGTTGTAGTGGGGCTGGTGGAGAAATTATAATAAGGGTCATGAAAAGTAAGGAATACTTAAAAGAATATATTTATTCACATAGGGGAAAATTAACATTCAGTTTGGAAGTCAACTCTGGAACCAAAGACTTGTGATTTTCTTCAGTGAAACCAACAAAGAATCATTATAGTCTATACTCATTCTTTTATTTTAAAAATTCTAAATTCAGAGTGGAAGAATTAGACCAGCTGGGAAAGAAAAGTACTCCATGTGAAGCTAATTTAAGTAAATCTTCAGATAATGTTGGCAATGTTGTTAATATAACCCCCAAAATAGGCAGTTTCAAGAGGGATTCTTTTATCAAAAGACAGAAAATTTAAAATAGAAAAATATAGGTTCCATATTTTCAAATATGGGCCCAGAGGCTATATTCCACAGCATTTTTATATATTGTTCATGGGCAAAGACCAGAGTTCAAGAAGAAATTAGAATTACATGCATAATGACATAAGTAACACAGCTACATACAACAAAATAATTCAGGTTTAGAAGAAACCGTTCAGCAAAAAGTCATGAAAAACTGTTATGGGAAGAAAAGATAAGAAAAAACACATAGAGAATTTCTTTCTAAGGTATATAAGGAGTGAAAGGGTTTGCTATGGCCTCTGAATAGTGAAGGACTTATTGGCTACTGCCTGCCATTTATTATGTCTGCACTTTAGGTTCTGACTCTACAGTATATTGTGCCAGCTACCAAGAGGTATTCTAAGGCATAATAACTCTAAAATGCTACAATGTGTACGTCCCAAATAACAAAGCCAAATGAATTCGGACTCTCTTCGTTGGCTAGGATTAACTGCTGACATTACTGCATTATGAAAAAAAGTTTTAGTAGGTGAAGTTGCAGAAAGAAGCTTCCCCTGCCTGCATAAAAAAATAATTGTTAAACCATTCAGAGGCATCTATTTACTATGTCAATTAAAATGATCTTCACTTATTCATGGAGATAGCTTTGTTAAACCAACTTATCACTATCTTAATCACTAGCTGCTGCAGATAAGAGCTCTTGAAGTAATACAATAGATATTCATTAAAAGTGTTAAAAATTTCTAAGGTAAAATGGTGTGTCAAGCCAGATCACAAAAAATCTTTTTAAATAGATAAAAATAAACAAGAACAACAAAAAGAATTAAAACTTTGTCTTATTTTTCTTAAATACCAGTTAGCAAAAAAGAGCAAAAGACTCCAGAAATCTGTGATGTGCTGTTCCAACTTCCAAGCATTCCTACCCACCCCCACCCTAAGCAGACCAGAGAGAAGAAAGTTAATGACAATGTCTGAAAAACTTCATTATAACCTTCTAATCTGGAGGGAGAGAGGAAGGAGAAAGCCAAGAGAAAAAGCTGTGGAAAGCTGTGTAGAGACCTTTCCCACCACAGTGATTCAGAGATGGGGAAACAGTCTGGATGCATCACTGTGGTACTCAAGGCTGGAAGGAAAGGAGAGGACCTGACTGTGCTCCCTCTGAGCCAATTAACTCCATCAATAAAGAAGGCTTTACTAGAACAGACGGAATGTTGAAGGAAATATGGGAGGGGAGAAGGCTGGCAAAAAGAATCCGGGAAAATCTTCCTCCCTGGTCAGGGATGGTCAGCACCAAGGTTCACCTCCCTCCCCTCAGCTAAGTAGGAGGAGAGTGAGGGTGGCCACCAGGGAGACGCACAGGAGATCAATGTTCACAAGAATAAAAAGTGTGTGTATTCACTCTTTTAGAAAAGGGAGTGGTTGAAACACCTAATGACTTTGAAAACATTTATATTGCAAAGTCTCACCCCCATCAGTGTCCTCCTTATCCAGCCTATTACCCACATGGCTTCCTACTGGTGACCAATCTTATTAGTTTCTCCTATATCCTTCTACTATTTCTTCATCAACATATATTCTTTTTTTCCTATCCTTTTCTCAAAAAAAGTATCATCGTTTACATATATATATATGTACACACACACACACATACACGCAAACATACTGCCAAACAGCAGGGG